GTTCGTCCGAAACCATCGAACCCCCGGTCCCTACGGCTATGGCATTCATCCTGACGTGTTTCTGCCGAAAAATTAAGACAATTGATTCATAAATAAGCGAAAATGAAAATGATTCAGAGAAAAATGCATTTCAAAATTTTAGTTCTCGTAGACATCAATGGTACAATACTACAATAAAATTTAAAACATAATATATTCATTCTTTTAAGCTGGTTAGACAATCAACATTGGTTTATTTTTTAACTTAAGATTAACGTGGAAAAAAATTCATGTTACCGTATATAACCATGGGCTTTCAAGAGAGCCCATGATATAACGATGAGGTCACTTAGGTTTCAAATATTTTTGATATGCTAACACATTGAAGTGGCACATTAATAGATATGAAATTTCATTAACAACTTATTGAAATAGTGTGTCCTTTGGTCAATCTTTGCATTGGTGTTAAAAATAATGCTCTGATGATTAAAAAAATTTCAACTTTTATTTGAAAAATGGCGGGAAATTTGAATATTTGAAAAATGAAAAGCTGACAACTTTTTTCAATTTTGTTTTTTTAAAATCTCTAAAATAACTTTGAAGCCATGCCAAATAATAAAAATGAATGAAAAAAACATATTTTCAAACTTAACTTTTTTTTATTTATTGAAAAAATGTAACATATTTACAGGTTTTAGTGGCTATGACCACCAAGAGGGAGTATTATGTGCCACATAATGGTATTTAGAATGATTTGTTAAATATTATAAAAAGTGTACATGTTATTTTGTAAAGTATGATCTTGTACATAATTGAGAAAATAAAGTGATTTAATGAAAATGATTAAAGGTCTCTTCAGGTGCAACAATAAAATGTGTAGAGTAAGAGGAAATATAATATCAAAATTACATTATTAAATATTATGACTCTGATAACATCTGATGAGATTGTGCGGCATGAACTTGGTGTAAGACCACACGAAATTTAGTGTATTATATGTATAATATAATATAAAAGTATATATTACAAATGTATATATATAGTTATAATATTATTAAATGGCGCATTATATATATAATATAAAATAATATAAAAGTATATATTATATATAGTTATGTATTATATTCTTGTAAATGTGTATATGCATATATTTATTTATGTATTTGTCTCCTCTAGTCCCCAGTCCCCAGTCCCCAGTAGTTATATATTATGAGGTTATATAATGGTTCTTTCTGTATATCGTGTTTATACTCGAGTGAGTATATGATATATTCACAAGTGAGCGTAGCGAACGAGTGAATATATTATATTCTCACGAGAGTATAAAATGCACGATATACAGAATGAACCATAATATAATCTTATTATGCCACTCTAAGTTCAATTACAGTTGATTCGAACACAATCATAACAATTAAAAACCATAAAAATATCCCATAGCCAACTCAATAATGCTGATGTTGATCTCGAACCATTGATGACGTGGCTTGATTCTAGCAAATCATGCCGGTGTGAAAGAAATGATGGTCCCCCAGGGATTATGGTCCCCTTTCTTAACGGCCCTTACTGGCCCTGATTGTGTATAAGATAATGAGGGAGAGAGTTGTATTTAGGTCACCATATAAATCAATGGAGAGTAGGACCATAATTTGATAGGACCTCATTCCCTTTTACACCTGAACCATTCATGACGTCACTTGATTCTAGGAAATCATGAACATTTTCATGATTTTTTTATTCATTAGTTCCCAGAATGCATTTCTACAGTGGTATACGCTGGAGTGTATACGGAGGAGTTGTATACGATGACGATATACCACTCTCCACTGTATATCGTTGTTATAGACCCATGTTATACAACTGTAATTGGACTTAGAGTGGTATAAATATATATATATATATTTATATCGGTCTCCAGTCCCTCCTTTATATGTTTGTGCATATGCATTTACATGTATTTATTTATATATTTGTCTCCTCTGGTCCCCAGTCCCCAGTAGTTATATATATACTTATATCGGTCTCCAGTCCCTCCTTTATATATGTTTGTGTATATGCATATACATGCATCTATTTATATATTAGTCTCCTCTGGTCCCCAGTCCCCAGTCCCCAGTTACTATATATATAGGAGAGTTTTTTTTGTTAAACTTTAAGAAACATATCAATTTTTGTTAAATAAAGTTATCAAATTCAATTGAGCCTGGTATACACCAATGGGGCAAAATCCCACTTGCCCCATCGAGTCCCATCTTGCCCCATCGAGTCCCAATTTGCCCCATCGAATCCCACGGAGTCCCATGGGACCTTGATGACTTTGCCCCATCGTGCCCCATGGAGTCCCATCAAGCCCCATGGAGTCCCATCAAATCACACCGTGCCCCATTGGTGTATGTCGGGCTTCACACAACACGTCATATGATCGAAAATCCCATGATGCCCCATGGAAAGAATGAACATGTTCATTCTCGATGGGTCTCCATGGGACTCCGTGGGATTTTGCCCCATCTTGCCCCATCGAGTCCCACCGAGTCCCACGTGGGACTTCATGGGACCTCGTGGGACTCGATGGGGCATGGGGGGCTTTAAGTCAAAATTGCTTTTCAAAAAAACCTCTCCTATATATATAGTAACTGGGGACTGGGGACTGGGGACCAGAGGAGACTAATATATAAATAGATGCATGGATATGCATATACACAAACATATATAAAGGAGGGACTGGAGACCGATATAAATATATATATAGCTCACTGGGGACTGGGGACAAGAGGAGACTAATATATAAATAAATACATGTAAATGCATATGCACAAACATATATAAAGGAGGGACTGGAGACCGATATAAATATATATATAGCTCACTGGGGACTGGGGACTGGGGACCAGAGGAGACTAATATATAAATAGATACATATATATGCATATATACAAACATATATAAAGGAGGGACTGGAGACTGATATAAATATATATATAGCTACTGGGGACTGGGGACCAGAGGAGACAGATATATAAATAAGTACATGTATAATATATAAATAGATACATATATATGCATATATACAAACATATATAAAGGAGGGACTGGAGACCGATATAAATATATATATAGCTACTGGGGACTGGGGACTGGGGACTGGGGACCAGAGGAGACAAATATATAAATAAACACATGCATATACATTTACAAGAATATAATATATATATTATATATATATATTAATTTATATATATGCACTTATATATATATTTATATTATATTATATTATATTATACATATAATACACTAAATTTCGTGTGGTCTTACATCAAGTTCATGCCGATTGTGCAGTAGTTCAAGGAACTACTCCTCCAAGTAGTATATAGATTACAGTTAATTACTAGCCTTTTCCAATGGCCATGATGATATCCCACTAGCCCGCTAGTAGGACTAGGGACATCTTGAAGTCTATTAATTACAGATTACTTTAATGTAAACATACAGTGTCAGGGGCGTAGCCAGCTTTCAGTCAGGGGGGGTGCGATCGCCGAAAAAATTTCAGTTTTCGGTCAGGGGGGGGGTGCGATTTTGGCATAAGCAACACAAAAAATTAAGATTTCTTTTGAATTTTACAAAAATTGATGCAACGTCCTTCAAAATTGAGCTAGAAGCTTCAAATAAAAAGCATTTTAAAGCTCTGTTCTTCCTCTATCCAATGGTTATGGGGGGGGGGGGGGGGTGCGATCGCACCCATCGCACCCCCCTGGCTACGCCCATGAGTGTTTTAGCACTTTTGATTATAGTCCGATTATCGTAGATTGCTAGTTTAGGCTACTGTGATTACAAGCTGCTGAGTAGGGATAAACAACAAACAATCAACATAATTTTAAAGTTAATCCCTAATAGGCCTAGAGATATCTGTTGAAAGCCCATGATAAGACCAAATAACGATAGACTGTGGGACTCACTCAGGGGGGGGGGGGGAGTGAACTCTGATATGTTAGCTATATGGGGACGTGCCGCTAAAGTGGGTCACTTTTTCGGCGGAAAAATCCTAGATGTGGGTCCCATTTTGAAAAAAAAACCTAAATCGGGTTCCATCGATGAAAAAAATCTTTAGAACTGGGTCTACTTTTTGAAAAATCCTAAAACTAGGTAGGCTTACTGTTCTTGAAAAATATCGACGGAAGTGGGTCGGTCTTGTTTTAAAAAAATAACCTTGAAGTGGGTATTTTTTCAAAAGAAAAACCCTCTTAAGATGCACTGGCGGGCCTAAAAATTTGTCCCAACCATAAAAGGCTTAAACTTAAGGCCGCCCCAAAAAGTGGGCCTTTTTGGTCATTACCGAGCCTTTGAGCCCTTATTCTTTAATTTCAGGTCAAATTTGGAAGAAAATGGGCCTCAAATTTTGGGCCGTTTTATTAGGGGCCCAAATTTCTTTCCGTGCAAGCGACGAAGTTTTTTTCTCTGACCTGAAATTTACCCCCCCCCCCTGTTGGTTCCGAGATCCGCCCCTGAGATGTGGGCCCATTTTTAGAGAAAAAAAAATCCCTAGATGTGGGTAGATATTTTGAGTCTCAGCGGCACCCCCCTTTACAAAAATTTGACCAGTACCCCCCCCCCCCCCCCCGGAGACTCGCTAAATCCTATAGTCCCGGCACGGAATAACCCTACGCGGGTGATCACGGTAAACCCCCCGGATTGCGGTGGGGAGATTTATCACGTGACTTGGCTTAGTGACGTCACGAATTTTACGCATCCGAAAAATGGCGCATCGAATTCGCGGAACAGTTTCGCTCGTATTTGGCTGCATTGTTCAACGTTTGGGCATGATAAAGGTAAGGTCAACTACTGCGCTGGTACGGCTAGTTTCAAAATACAGCTGCAAACCCGCTATATGCTAATTAATGTTCTTGTTTCGTGTTATGGAATTTGATCTACTTCTTCTTATGCCCGCTAGGGGGATTCGAAGGAGTAAAAACTAGGCCAAGAAGTAAGAAGATATTTATTAGTTTACAAGTTAGACTAACTTACACTGGATATTTGTAGCTGGTAATCAAGGTATTCCCGGAAGAGATAATGTCTCCTTGAATCATGATCAAGATAGCCTAGATGTATCAGATTGGACCTTGCCGTAAGAAATTGAAAGAACATGATAGAAAATCCAGGTCAAAATTGACAAAACGAAAGTGAAAATGAATCATATTTAGCCTAGAATTATGAAGAATTTATGCCATAGGAATCTAAGTGACTGCACATCATCATCATGTAAGTCATGTTGTTATATATTTCAGTGAAGCTGGACTCCAAATGAAATTTAGATTGCTGTACAGCTTATCAGCATCTAAGCTTAGTCCAATGTTGTCCAGCCAATAACTTGGGATACAAAGTAGAACTGTAACATAGCTAAACTTAATTTACAACATGGTGCGTCTCAAGACCGATCATTCTTGTTGAGCTAAGTCTAAGGCTAAGTCTGTTATCTGTTTTCGGACAGGTGGGTGGGTGCAAGGGTGAATGTAATACCCGGAATGTTACTCGTTCTCAATTTCAATGTATTCGGTGTTCTGCCTTTTATCGTTTACTGTTCTATCAACCAAATAAATCTATACACCATTGTATAATGCAGATCATATGAAGCCCCGGATGTCATGTCGTTTTGTTTGGTACACAACTTTAGCCCCAGGTATTAAATAAGCTCTTGGTGGGTGCATATATAGGCAGATTGGTGGGCATCCCACTTATTTTGTCAATGCGATTCTAGGTAAACAAATTGATGGATTCAAATTTTCAAGGATAATTCGTTGTTTGAAAATGTCGAACGGATTAGTGTTTGGGCATTATAGGTATAAAAATGTGGCCATTTTGGTTTTTCTGTCCTAGAATCCTGTCGGTTATAAACGAAACATAGGAAAGCACAATTGAGTCCCCAAGGATTACATGTTTAATGAAAAATGGCGGAGTTTTCAATAAATAGCAGCCTCTTTGAAAATTTCGTCTCAAGCAGAGCTCCTTTATCTCTAGGCATCAGTATATAAAATTTGAAGTAAATCCATCCACTGGTATTTGAGTTATAAATCAAAAATTACATACATACAATCATAATTCCTAAAAGTACAACAATAAATGTCAGACGAGTTACATTAAAGAAAATGGGTTTGTGTCCTCTTTCTTAGCTATTGGTCAATTCCGAGATTAAAAAAATACTTGTTTATTATCTTCTTCTAAGGCCACTGTATCGTGGGCTTCTATTAAAGATAAACTCCTGCATGTATAACGGGTCATGTTGTAATCATAAAATTTGAAATTATATGTCCGCCATTTTTCCACATCACAATTTGAATTGCAGGTTTTGGTCTTATTACCTCACCAAAAATTCCAAAACACACATAAAGTGATCAGTGTATTAGTTCACATCTTCTGGATCGCTAACTTAGAATTTACAGCCAGTTACTAATGTCAGACGTTAAAGACATTTCATCCAGTTTTCGAATGAGGGTGCGAGATTTGAAGTCACTTGACATTTACATCCTGATTTCTACATTACGGGATAACACAACTAAATGCTATATAACATGCGTTTTCCCATACAAATGATCTGTCTTTTAGAGAAAATTAAGATTTGTGGCCATGTTTTGCTATCATGCCATCATACCCAAGTACATGTACATCCTCTGCCAGTGAAAAAAGTTTGAATTAAAACTCCCAACGAAAATCAAAAGATCTCCCCTGTTGAAAACGCCATCTATAGAAAATGTCAAAATTGTCATTCTAATTTTGACAGATGGAGGGAGGTCTAAAAGGTCAAAAATGTTCAGCGGAAGGATCAATTGGTTTTGTGTTTCCTACTGTGTCCTCCATAGAAAGTCAAAAGTCATAAGATTTCAAAAAATCGAGAACTAAATCTCGAAATTCTCTAGAAACCAGTTTATGTAACATCAAGGTGTGTGATCTTCACATCATGGATTGTGAAAAGAAAAATGTTGTGTGAGCCGTATAACCATTTGTTCCACTTGTGTACTCTGTTCGATGTCAATATTAAACAGTGCATATACAAATACGCATATACAAGTGTGATTTTACCAACATACAGTGTGCAAATTCGAGCAAACTGTGTATGAAGTCACACGGATTACATAAATAAAAGATGTCTAATTTTGATACAGTTTTAACACCATAAACACCTACTAACAGTGAACATTTTTTCTCAGCAAAAAAATGTTCTCTATTCACAGGTTTTACTGTATACTAAATCATCAAAACCATTTTATCATTGATTGCACTCATTTGTGGCCAATCAGCTCAGCAAAAATACTCAATTTTCTTTACTTTTTGGAAAGGTGAATAGTGCTGTTCTGGTGTAATATACAGGGTGTCCCGAAAGTATGGCCCCCCCTAGGCAGACATATACCAGTGTCGTCATAGTATGTGTCATATATCATATTAAAGCTTATCCAAAGCTACATTGATTTGCCAAGTATACTTGAGATTGAGATGGCCAAAGTAGTCTAGCTACAAACCCATGTGCCCCCTCCCCCTTCATACTGCTCATACCTTCCCATGGTGGTGAAGTAGATAAAGAGGGTCCAGGGATTGAAGCAAGACTAGGGCCATTGTTTGAATCTAACAAATATTACTTAAATGCTGTCTTTATCTCACTTGTTGCATCATACTTTTCTTTCTCAAAGGTGCCATGAACTCACTGTGTTTTGAAAAGGATCAACTGGGAACCTTTTACCTAATTTACATTTATTTAGATACACGATCCCATTCCGTCATTGGTGCTTTTAACTCAGCAAAAATTGGATTAATTCATGTTATTTTTATGAACAATTCATCTTTACACATTGAATTTTTCAGGAAATCTAACAGGGGTAGCCCCTTTTGTGAGAAATCCAAATGACATGTCGTCAACAATAGAGGAAGAGGTAGAAAAACAGCAAAGGACAACTGATCTGAAGGGTTGGCATTGCCCAGTAGAGACCAATAATGAAGAAGAGCCATCAACCCCTTGTAAGTTTAATATGATATTATTATTTTATTCAAATGGGTTCAAGCTATTGTTAAGGCCAACTTGTCTTGCTGTATTCTATCCATAACCCTACTATCACACCAAACTAGTTCTCACTACGTTCTCGAAAACGGGCTTTAACTGTGCACGAATGGATTTGACGTACTACGAACCCACTAAGAACCATTTGGGATCTGTTTACAAACTTCATGAAACTACTAGAACGAGTAGGTCCTCCAGCACTTAGAGCATGCTCAACATTTTCTGGTGATCATCAAAACGTTGCCGAATCGGTTTTAAACTGTGTGCGAACTGAATGAACGTAGCTACAACGTTCTATGGTCTGTTTACGAACTTCATGGACTTTCCCGGACGGGGTATGTGATTTAGAATTTTGAATTGATTCAAAATTCGATGGCGACCATACCGTTCTGTAATCAGGTCATGATGACCTTCTAGACTAAGGGACGGTTTATACTACGTTGCACACCGACGTGGTGCGACCTGAACGAACTGCAAATGTGATGGACGTATTGAAGACTGTTTATGAACGAAGTAGCTAATTATTTTAGACATATATCCCGACCGCAGCCAGATCGAGCCCGTTTTACGACATTTTCGTAGGACTGGCAAGAACGGGTAAGAACTAGTTTGGTGTGATAGGGGGGTTATTGTCCATCAACTAGGGAAGCAGGTGTCTCTTAGATTGGCCAAACACAGGACACAGTGGGTGGTTTGATATGACATATTAGTGAGGTACCACATTGCCAAGAATAAAATACCAAATTATAAAAAAAAAATTATAAAAGAACAATAGAAAAAAAGAACAAAGAGACTCTTAATATAAGCTAACAATACAAGCAGCATCCTAAAGATGTCTGTCCGTCTGTCAACATATTGGTAGCTCATTTGAAATCCTCAATGACAATTGAAATGGTTGTCTTTAAAAATGTATCTATGTGAGGTCGTCAAATGTCCCATAAGTGGCGTCTCGAAAGCTTGCTTAAAATGTTTCAAAATGGCGGCCACTTTTATTGTGGAAAAATCAGGGTTTCAGCTCTTTTTTAATCATAACTCAACAAGTGTTCCACCAGTTTGCTTAGAATTATACAAATCAATAATGACTCTACAAGTTTCAGCAAAATAAGTTGCGTAGATTCAAAATGGTTGCCACTTTTACTGTGGAAAAATACGGGTTTTATTTTTTTATTAGACAACTCCACAACAATGACAAGCAAATTGAAGAAGTATTTCTTCAATTTGCTTGTAATTGTACTGCATGGTATCTTAAAAGGTTAAAGTTAAAGTCGCGCCTCTCTCCGAGACGTAATCTTAGGTTGTTCCCGGGGTCCCTGGCCTGGTAATATTTTGTGCTTAAATGAGAAAATATACAATAATGAACAAATGGAGCAAATACTGTGAAGAAATACTCACGATAAAGATGTTATTTTGACGATTGTTCATTCAATTGCTCAGAAGTTCGCCGGTAAACAAATCTCTTAGAAGATTTCTAAATTTAGAATGTCACGTGTCAACATTGGCCGCACAAATTAAAACTGCTATTTGGATTGCGTCATATCCACTTTCATTTTATGCATATCCATAATGCCTATTTGACCTATCATCGCCATTTCCCAAGTTCGCCCGGTTTCCGAGAAATTGCGGATTTTGACGTCAAAAATTTTCTGTAAATACTAGACACTTTGTTGAAGTAGAACTTTCAAATACCTTTTAGTAGTTGCTGTATATGCAACTTATGTCCTCTGAAGATTTCAAAGCTCTTGGAATTACAGTTTTTGGTGTTTACTCAATAAAATTTGACAAAAAGTAGGACTTAGTCATTTTCAGGAAACTTTCTCATGTATAAAGTCAGTGGCAGGTTTTGTGATTGACAAGTTTCTCAAGGTTTGCCTTATACTTGATCATTTCTTGCAATGAATTACATCATTACTAGATTTAAGCATTCCCTACATATTGCTCAATATATGTCAGCATCAAATTTTTACCGTTTTTGAGATATTTGACATCAAAAAACAGTAAAAATAAGTTATTTTTCAACTTGCTTCAATTTGACCAAATTTATTTTTTTGAAAATCATCTACAAGTTGCCAGGAGTTGAAATCTGACGTTAGTTTTAGGATTTGACCTTTACTTGACCTTCAGTGACCTTCAAAGGTCAAAAAAGTTGACTTTTCAAATTGATTTTTGGATGTAAATTTTGGTCAGCTTAATCACAAAAGACCTTACTGAGCTCTGAATAAGTAAAATTTTCAAGGTCAAAGGTCATCAAACTAGGTCACACAACTGTGCTATCTAAGTTTCGAGACTACAAATCCAAATCAATATTTTTGTTTGAAAGTCAGGATAAACATTCCTCTGAAGGTTCCAAACTGTGTGAGCACAGGACCGTGGGTCCTATTTTTTTTTAAGTTAATGGTTGTGCTTTGATTTTACGCTTAAGAAAAACGTTTATATCTAGGTCAAATTTATATTTTGATATGTATTATCTCTTCAGTCGTATGAAAATGAATGATTATTTATCTGAAAAAACTATATGCATTTGTATAGGGTAACATTTCGATTTTACAGGGCGTTCATAAAGTTCTTGCAAAAATGCTCTAAAATTTTTGTATCTCAGTCAATCTGGCTGATATTTTCACTCAGTATACCTACACTATTCATACATTGAGACCCAAAGTTATAATCATTAGGTCCGTGTAGAATGAAAGTTATGGTTGCTATAGTCACAAGAGTCGGGGGTAGGCGGAGCAGGCAAAAACAGATCTGTTTTGTTTGAATGTTCAAAATGTTTTTACCTTGTCCTGTTTACTTCAATAACAGTAACTCAAACAGTATAAGTATTCAAAATAGTGTCCACCATGGTTTATACACCTCTGCTGTCTTACTTACCATTCCTCAAACAGATGACGGGACTAATTTGGAGAGTTTCCTGCGATTGATCTTTGCATGGAATATTTGTAATTGTAAATCATCATATTTTGCTGATTTTGCAGCCATTTTCACAAAAATAAAGTTGACGCTGCCTTTCACAAAGTCCGATGTCAACAACCAACATAGGTCACTATGATGCCATCTGTGATGTCATGAATCAAAGAAATTTCAACTATAATGTCATCATATGGCAGCATCTAGTACTGACATGTCAACATTAGCTTGTATTTTTCGAGGATACTTTAAAGTACGATAAAGTTACCTCTATTCCATATCTTTTGTCTAAACTTTTCTTTTTTACAATGCTGCTCCGCCTACCCCCGACTAGTGTTACTATAGCAGTCATAACTTTTTTTCTTCAAGGACTTATTTATTATTATTCAAGATTCAAATGTATGAATAGTGTAGATATACTGAGTGAAAATTTCAGCCAGATTGATTGAGAAACAAAAAAATTAGAGTACTTTTGCAAGAACTTTATGAACGCCCTGTATATGCATTGCTTAAAGTCTCAATTATTATACAGAAACATGAATTCATTGATGTTTGATGTCACTTTTTGTTTTACAGACGAGGGTGTCAAACTTCAAATCGAAGATGTCCGGAGTCTCTCAGAGGGTAAATATAGATTTATGAATGTGATCCTTTATCATCCAACCAAATAAGTTCGAGTTCTACTCGACAGACAGAGAAGACGTGTGTCTGTCCATCCATCTGTCTGTCCATCTATCTGTTATCAAGTTTCTTCTCTTAATGTTGATTTTATTTCCTTTTAGTAATGTTATCTTAGCTACATTCCATACACTGCTGCAGAGCTCTTAGTTGACCGAATTAATATGCAGCTATTTTCCTTTAAATGATTATGGTATACTAATATCTAATCTCAACATTATTCAATAACAGCCCTGTGAAGTGTCTGTTCATGGATCTCATCAATGTAAATATTAATATCTCAATAAAATGGGGTTAAGGAAATTTCTAGATACTTTTGGAGAAAATTTATTCTTGTCAAGTTTCCATTTAAATCAATAGATACAATGGAGTGGTATCGATATGGTGAACTTTTTGAACACGCATTTCTCTTAGACCAGTCATCAAAACATTCTGAAAATTTTACACATCGTCAATTTAATGGTCATCTTTTGGATGGTAACATTATGATTTGAATTATATATATATATATTCTTTTCTCTCTAATGACATAAACACAACTTGTTTAGGTCTCTCAATATTGTAATTGTACAAAGGAAAGTTTGGTTGATTTTAAAAAAGTATCTTGTTAATGAAATAAAAGGTTTATCTTAATTTTTATCTATTTTGGGGGATTTTGTTTTAAGTTTTCAGAAAGACATTTTATTTCATTCTCAAGAATTGGTAGAAAGGAACAAAAAACAATTGCACTAAAAAACAAAATATGTTAACAAAAACAGTTATATAAAATATATATAAATAATTTTTGCATAAAATTGTAGCCAATCAGTCAACATTAATATGATGGTCTAAATGATAATGTTAAAGGTCTTGGTAATGTCACCAAAACCCATAATAATGTTAAGGTTGATAACAATTTTAACTCACAGCAATATACTGCCCGATCCTGTGGGAGGAGAATCAAAGATCGTATTGGAAGGCGCAATTTACACGCAGAAATTGACATAAATAAACTTATTAAATTTTTAATGACCCAAATAAGTTTTTACACTATCTGAGGACTTTGATTTTTTCTTTACCCCATTCAAAACTGCATAAAATACTTGAAGACTCCAATAAAGCCTTTTCAGATAAAAAAAATCCTCAAAATTTGCATTGTATTATTGTTGACCTGGGTACAAGTACTTTGACATCAAAAGAACTAAAACCTAAAAGGTATATGAAAATATTTTTTCACAATAAGGGTATTGCACACATTCACCTGCCTAGAGTGTTAAATGACAAGAATGTAATAAGTAAAATACCTGCTTATTTTGACTTTTAAAGTACCATCCAAATCTTAAAAGTACACAGATACGATCGCAAGGAAAATCTTTAATCATAACAAAAGTGTTACAGATTTTGACAATACCGATTTCGATGATATGATTCGTAATTGTTAGGATTCTGATTTTAAATATGAACCCCACAAACATATTTTCACAGGTAACTTAGATACTATATCTAATACTAAGCTTCGAAATCTGATTAAAAAAGGTCCTAAATTTCATGAACAGAATCCAATTTTATGGAGATATAATAAAAAAAAATTGTTGAAAAATATGCTAAGGATTGGGTTAGATGTGAGCATGCTGATAAATCTTGATTAGATGAGTGGATACTTAAAGTCAAGGATATTGTTAATAGTAGAATAATTAAACTTAAAAGTCAAAAGTTTGAATCTAATGACAAGATATTAGATGACCCTCAAGTTGTTCAATATTTAGAAAATTTTCATAAAAAAAGCGTCAAATAATGTTATTGTTATATGTAAAAAATTCTATTTGTCTATTATTATGACAGAATTGGACATGAATTAAAAATGCAAGTAATAAGACGTATGTTAAGGTTGATGCTAATGAAGTTGAAATAGTCAAAATCATTTAGACTTCTTGATTAAACACAAGATCAAACCAACAGAGAAACAAGATCTTAAAGAACATTTGCCTAAAATTTATTGGATACCTAAATTACATAAAGACCCTTATGAATCTAGATTTATTGCTGGTTCTAGGGTTTGTTCTACTAAAAAGGTTTCTGGGCTATTGACTAGGTGTCTCCAAGCTGTTAAAAATAATAGGGAGTCGTCATACTGTAACGCCATTTTTAGAAATTCTGGGGTTAACCATATGTGGATCCTTAAAAATTCGAAGGACCTTTTATCTTCTAAATTTGATCAACCAAATTATTCAAAAGTTAAATGTATGTCCACATGGGATTTTTCCACACTTTACACATCAATTCCCCATAACAAATTGAAAGAGGAAATATTTGGTATCATTAAAAACACAATGAAAGGTAGTATGAGCTTTCTTTTCTAGTGATCAACATGAAAAGTATATTTCCTTCACTGCAATACAACTTTATGAGGTTTTAGGCTAACATTTTTGTAAAGATTGGAAATACTGTTTTACGTCAAAATATAGGAATACCAATGGGGACAGATTGTGCTCCTCTTTTGTCAGACCTTTTTCTATTTTCGTATGAATATAAGTTTTTGTAAAAGATGATGAAAGATAAGACAAAATTCCACATAGCTAAACGTTTCAATAAAACAGATAGACATAGATGAGTTTGGACAACCCTGGATTTGAAGATTTTGTAAATGATCGAGATATACCCTTCCGAGTTAAAAAAGACCAATGAATCGAACATAAATGTGCCTTATCTTGACCTTTTCATTCACATTGAACAAGACAACAGTATATATTGTAAGTTGTATGATAAACGAGATGATTTCAACTTTGATATTGTGAATTTTCCCCATTTGGACAGTAATATTTTATTAAACCCAGCATATGGGGTCTATGTATCCCAGCTTATTAGATATGGCAGGGCATGCTCTAAATATTTAGATTTTAAGCCAAGACACAATACTTTAGTGATCAAACTGTTAGGTCAAGGTTATACTTGTATAAAGCTTAAGAAATACTTTCTGGGCTTTGCTGAAAAATACAAATCATTAATTTCTAAGTTTCAAGTTTTACCACTTGAGATGCTGAAGGATGTAGGAATTGTTTAAGACATTGGTGCTGAACTCACAATATTTTCACTTGGCACCTTTTGAGGTAGATCCCGGCTATGGCATTAATGGTTGAGAAATAGGGATCGAAACCAGCCATAGTTTTCTCCTGATGACCATTGTGAATTATTGTGTTTTATGAATTATGGCGGCGGCTTTAGTGAATTGATGTTGACCCTTTGAAACGCCTATGGACTTGGATACTGGATTTTATCTATCCCACATCATTTGAGACTGAATGCTCAATCTTGTATGAGTACTTGTATCTTCAACTAATTTTGAGGTTATGAGTATTGGTCATCAATTTCTAATTTTTTCTTCAACATGTATTGTAATGACTTCAGTATGAATGAAATGCCCCTTGGTCTTCTGGTCTTGGATTGTGATATTGGTTCTTGAATGGTGGGTGAAGGGGGTATTGGACATTGTTTCTTTTCACGTTAGATCATGGTTTTGGGCTATATGGGATTTGTTTTTCTTGACTGGTGTGCACTTGGAGTTTGCTTTTTCTTGCAAAGTTCCATTACAACTTTTGGTCCTTTCCCTTTGGCACTTGTTCTTATATATTTACATAAAGGACCGTGTTTTTTTACAGAATGTTTTCAGTAATTGGTTTAAGAGAAAAACATTGTTGAATTCAGTTCACCATATGGATACCTATCCTTTGCTTTTAAACTATCTATTCCTCTGAAAATATCTAATAAATTTCGCTCGGGATAAACCCTATATCCAAAATTAACCAGTAAATAACCCTCATATATTCTCTTTGTTAGGTGTCAAAAATGATATTCACAGCATTGAAGAAGATGCAACCAACTCAGAATTGGAGGAGAAAACACCTAGGATAAGTGTCAATACAATGTCATATGCTGATATCGTTGAGAGTGACCCTAAACGTGTATGTGGGATTACAAGAGCTCTCAATACAGCAGTTCACCAAACAGATAAAGAGGTAGAACAATTTTGGTGCAATTTTTGCAAGTTCAAATGTATTGATTCAACTTTATTCAACCAGCATGTAGCCACACATGTCTTTATGTGTAAATTCTGTAATTACGCTGGTTTTACAAGGCTCGAAATCCTCCAGCACAATTTGTTTCAACATAATAATAAAGATGCAACTCAGCATAAGTTCTGTTCTGCTGAAATAAATGGATTAGAGGAAGAAAGAGAGATTGTTGGAAAAAATGTTGCCAGAGTTGGTTCATATGGAGAAAGAAAGGATATTGCTAAAAAGTCTGTGCTTACTAGTATTGAAGATATGAGTATGAAATGCAAGTGGTGCACATTCTCAACTATTGGTTGTGAATCTTTATATAGCCATGTCACTACATGGCATGGTTGCAGCAGTAATGCAACAGAAGAATGCAGATTCTGTTCTTTCAAAAATCATGATATAAATGTCTTGAACATCCACATTATGATCTTTCACACAGAATTAATTAAGGATGCAAAATTCTCCTGTGTTGAATGCAATACTGCATCTGAAATGACTATGAAAGAAATGGAATCCCATATACATCATAAGTCATTTACAGCTAGAAAATCTTTGATGTATGGGTGTTTTTTGTGTAAGTTTAATTCATATAGAAATGAGCAGCTTCCATACAGAGTTTTAGCTCATGTTATGAAACAGCATGGCTGTAAAAGAATTAAATTTATGCAAAACTCCATCATTAAAAGCAAGTATGATGATTTGATTGATAAATTGAAAAATTGTGATGATCATAACTATACAGAGGTAATGCAATCACCATCCTCCACTCCTCCGATGAGTTGCCATATCTGTTCAGAGAAATTCTTCACAGAAGTAGAGTATGACAATCATTTACAACAAAAACACAATTTACCTGTTATTACAGTAAAACATGTTGATACAACGAAGAAAAAAGAAGAAAAAGCAAGTGTGCCAGATACATATCCACAGCTCAATCAAATATTAGAAGAAGCAAATGGCCTCAATACATCTTTAGCTCAAGAATTACAGTCTGTGGCTACAGATGAAGTAGTGTCTTTAGGGAGAAACCTTAAGGCTAATACTAAAGATGAAACAAATGATTCTGATGTCAAAAGTGTCCAGACAAATAGTTCTGATGTACCCTTAAGAACTGACCTCAAGACCATAAATTCAGACCAAGCAACAGTTTCTGATCCAGCTCACATTGGAGACCTAGAGACTGCAGCCCAAGCAAAGGGTTCAGAAAAATCTTTGAGTACAAGCAACAAGTATGGAAATACAAACCAAGCAAATGAATTATCTCCGAATGCATTGCTTGACCTCAATGTTTTAGCTTCAAATCAAACAGCTCCTATAACAGATACGCAGAGCAAATCTGAACACTTATCCCCCACAGACATCAAATCAAAGACAGCTATAGAGCCAGGTTTATCTGATCCTAGACAAAGCTATGTTACATGGAAGTGTAGATACTGTTTCAAATTGTTCCATGATCATATTTGTACTGCAAATCATGTTAGATTGCATCATCCCGGGAAAGTTATCAGTGCAATAAAAGTGACTAAATACAAATCTTCAAATAAGAAGGATCCGATCAATGGCAATTCCAAAACACCAACCAAACAACAATCAACAAATGTCATTCAAACAGTCAATACAAATTCGCCCCTGATAGTTCTAAATACTGCTGCTGTTCCTGTCTACTCTGGCAACAAACAAGAAATCAACTTGCCTATTTTATCTACAACATCACTTGATTCTGATGCCAAATCCACAATTACTAATCTAGATGAATGTTCGATATGTGCAGTGAAAGTAAAAGCTGAAAATATGGACCAACATTTGCTTATTCACTCAACAAAGTCCCTATACGATGTAGCCTTCCAATGTGGCTTGTGTGATGTTGCAGCTTTGCACATAAAGAAGGTCGAACAGCATTTTTATAAGACTCATGGGGAAAATTTGAAATTTGCTTCCAATGTTGCATTCCTGTACAGATGTAAGAAGTGCTCTCTTATTAAACATCAGGAAACTGGTATACTTCTTCACATTCAATCCATGCACCCGTCTCTGTGGACCCAATATTGTAATAATATCGCAGAAGATCCAAATGTGAAAACTGCTGTTTCTCTCTCTACTGTCACTAAAGTTGATCATGATGATGTCAAAGGAGAAATTCCACATGTCCAGAAAGAAGAGGCATCAAAGCCACAGTATGTTTTAACTCCAAGAGGACTGAAGCGTTTGGACAAAATCAACGACCCCAAGGAAGCAGAATATGATAAACAAGACAATGCTGAAGCTCTGATACCTATTCAACCTTCACTCATTGTATCTCCTGATGATGAACTAGAAAATTCTTCTGACTCCGGATCCAAGACTGAAGATGAAAGTCCAAGCTCTGAATACATTCCATCTTCTGATGATGAAGACTATACCCCCAAGCCAAGAAAGAAAAAATATAGAAAGACAGAAACTAAATTCCTGAATAAGAGGAAAATAGACACTCCAGGAAATAATGAACTGAGAAAAAGAGTGAGGAAAGACATACACATTCATGTATCACTTTGTGGAAAGGCTAAGGATGTATTAGGATCATATAAATCCTTAGGCATGAGACAATTAAAAAACAGTTGCCTTTTCGTATGTGCACACTGTGGGTTTGAAACACGTGCTCTTACAGTATCTAGACACAAGACTAAGATGCTAGATCATCTAAAGGATTGTTGTAAAAATAAAACAATGGGAGTGGCTGTAGATATCAGAAACCATATTGGAAAACAGGCTTGCAAAGTTTTTTTTTGCTTGAACTGCAAAAATATGTTCTCTAGATTTATACTTTATGAAAAACATGTTCAAAAATGTCAAGATCAAACTAAAGTTAGCATTTGTGCTACAGCAAGAAACGCGATGGATTCATATCGATCTATGGGCAAGACAACTGGAACTGGTAATTGCATTCTTGTATGCACTCACTGTGGAGTCGAAGCATGTGCTTTGGACATGCGTTTAACAGAATTGTTAATGTTTAATCACCTCCAAGAATGTTCAGAGTTAGATTCAACTTTTGGAGTTGCTGTAGATATAAAAAAGTACATTGATAGACAGCGTTGTAAAGTCTTTTTTTGTCTGAAGAATTTTTGTCAGCGAGCTTTCTCAGCCTACTCATTATTTGAAAGACATAGACAAATATGTGAACAACGAGTTTTATCGAGAACCCCTTCTTTCACTCCTTCCTTTACCAATTCTGAAATTGACACTACAAACAATGATGATAATGAAGTTGTCCATCCTCCAAAATGTATTAAACAGGAACTAGATGATGATGCTCCACCTGATATATCAAAAAGCTTCTACCCAGTTAGCAATAATAATGGCAAAGATTTCTCAGATAGGGTCATAGATAATGATGCAACAGGAAACGGTATGCCTAGTCTTCTTAAGAGGTCTATCGAACATGAACAAGAAGACATACAGATTGAGCCAGCTGAATTCTCTGAATCAAATCTTGCATTAGAGAAAGATTGGGTTCCCCCTAATCTTGAGTATAATATTCCACTTAGTACCACATCACAATCTGGAAAAGGGAATTCTAAAAGAAGGAAAAAGATGTCATATAAAGGCAAGCAATTCAAAGCAAGTAGTGCAATGCAACATGAGGCTTTTGGATATCAGTGTCTTAAATGTAGAAATGATGTCACCTCTATACCTGATATGAAACAACATATTATTTGGAACCATCCACACTCTGATACTCCTTGGACCTGTAGGGACAATCATTTAAGGTTCCAAAAAAAGTCTTCAAAGCTATATTTATGCCATCGAGACAATTGTTCCCTTTCCACTCCAGATTTAAGTGAAATAAACCAACATATCGAGGAACATGACTGTAGTGATGAATCATTAATGGCCCAACAGATTGGGTCAAATACAGATCCTCCAGACTTTGAGCGAGCAGAGGATCTTTTGAAAACACAAAACATTAAATCTGAACCGTTAGACATTGAATATGAAGTAAATCTTGAACCTCAGGATAAATATCAGGATTCTGACTTCAACCTAGATGATACAATCAAGCAAGAATGCATAGATTCTGTTCATGACTCTAATGTAGAGTACACTCATGATGATCTTGAACTGACAGTAGGAGATGCCTGTGATTCACAGTCAGTCACCCAGAAGGATGACAAGATGTACTATTGCTCATATTGTCAATTCCGCACAAGCACACTCTCCCACATAAGGTCCCATGTTGCTGATGAGCATGACTCGATGGAAGGTATGTCCAATTTAATTTTATTTGTCGTGTTTTATTGTTTACGTGTTATGTCACTATCATTAACCATAAATTATTTTTGATCTTAGATAAAAAAGCACAAAAATAAGATTTGAATGCATGGATGAAAAATATTATGCTATTACGATTTGAGTTTAATTGGACATGCTTCAGTTCAGGCTGTAGTGGCTAAAAATTTGAATCCTCACTTATCGTCTTATGCTTACAGGTGGTTATACTGAGATGTCTTCACGAGTGAATGCTGATGGGGATGTTGTTGTCAATGTGACAGGTAAGTTATTGTATTGACTCATGGTTTAATAAAGTGTTTTGTAGTTATGTCATCTATACATATGTAAAGGGGGAAATACTAGCTTGGTATACTCTTAGATGTTATCTTTTTCTTGCTGTGTTATGTTATAATTCTTGATCCTTTCCCTTTGGAACTTGTATGTACATACGTAGTATGAATTATTGTGAATTGTTGGATCAATTTCATGTTGATTCCCTACACTTTCAGGAAGTAATGATTCTAGTAAAGATGGAGATGAGTCTGATGCTGGTGTAAGCAAGCCTTCAAGCCCAATGAATCATATCTTCAAAGATTCAAATGACACCAATTTAGAAAATAGTGATTTAGCTAACTCTGACAATAATATTCAACCTGATGATGCTCCTAGATTCTTTGGAGACATTAACAATCCAGAAAGTGATAACGATGGTGATCTGATTGAATCAGATCATATCAACGCTGTATCAAGTACTTCTAAAGTGTCAGACTCTAACGAGGATTCTCAAAATGACACATTTTACAATAAGAAACCTCTTATTGTCAACCATATAAGTAGATCTAATTGGAAGAATGGAACAATTGACAACACTGATGCTGAAGAGGTTTGAAGCAATAGTGATAACTCTAACAGTACAAGTGAACCAGAAAATTCTGATTCTGAATTCTGATTGCCTTTGAGATCACACCGTGACATTAATTGATCTCAGTTCATTTGTTTTACAGCTGAAAATGCACACTTGGAATGCAATGTGATAGTGACTTGTACTTGGAGGTCTTTAACAGTAACTTTATAAAAGTTAAGAATTCTTAAGTCAGTTACTCTCATAATATAGTCATTATATCCATAGTTCAACAATTATTTAGGAATCTTTAACCCTACAAGTTATTGTTAATGACCTCTCCAAGATTATTCTTTATACATTTTGAGATTAGTGAATCGTTAAAAGTGTGTCTTTTAACTCCTGAATCGTAATCTTATTCTTGTGAAGTGAAGTATACTCTGTATGTATTCATATTTTCAAAAGGTGTACATTTCTAGGCTGTTATGGCAACTCTATGACATACATGTGCCTTGTGCAAGTATAATCGGCTAAAACACAATAGAAGTTAAGCATGGTCATTGATTGAATCTTGTTCATACATGTCATATTGACCGCCTTATTTGCAACATTATGATTTGAAGTTTTGCTTTGAATGTCAAATTTTTTTGGAGCATTCAAGTAGTCTTTAGTCGAAGGTACTATCAAAATGACATATTTTACATTGTTGGAGATTTGCCTTGAACATGGCTATGGAATGGATTTGTTGAAATGTTATAGTCCACTTTAAAACAGCTATAGATATTGAATGAAAATTAATGTATGAAATAAGACATAGTTCACAAATTACTTTAAATATAATGAATGGAAAGCCCAAAAAATCCCTTGTATGTTGTGGGACTACAGTGAAACCTGTAAAGTGGAACACCTTTAGAAGTGGAACACTTCTGTTTGTAGAACATTTTTCAGAGTCCAAAGACCAACTGAATTAATGTTAAATGAACCTCTATAAGTGGAACACCTCCTAAGAAGAACACTTTGTATATTTGACTACAAATTATTGATTTACACAACTATTTTCCCTTTTTGTCAATGATATACAAATGATCAATTGAATTTTCATCAGAGATAGTGCTATTCTGTGGTATTTTAAGGCTTTATCCAAAGTATAGTTAAATTAGAATATGTGATATACTTTGTCATACTTTTAGAATTGTACACTGTATTGCAAATATTGTAAATGCATATATATATAGGCGTTATCAGGCATTGATGAGGATCCTAAATTTTTACACAAAAATATTTGTGTAGACATTTTCAATAGCAACGGTGAAAATGAAGTCGAATTGATATTGCCTCGACTCAGTTTTTGCCTCACCTATTCAAATATGCCTCACTTAATTTTAGATTCTGGCCATGCCCTTGAAATGTATTCCAATATTAAACTGGTGTCATATTATATATGCACAATTGCACATATGCTGATGAGAAAACTACTTAATGTTATATTACAGTATTACTATAAAGTTGTCTCAATTTTGGAATATAATATAGTATGTACGAGGGTTGATTCAAAAGTCATGGACAAAATTTTATAGGCATACTAAATTTCACCCAATCAGTCTAATTTTTTCACAGTGAATAGATCAATCAATTCTCTACTTTGTGTCGAATTCTCATTTAAATGCATTTGAAATTGTTTCAGCTATGCGTAACCATGGTTACAAGGGTAAGCATGGGTGGAATTGGTTTTTTAATGATAATTGAATGTTTTTGTCATTTTTGCTTGATTTCGTTTTTATGACTCAATTACCACACATGATATGTCTAACAAGCATGGTAATGCAATTGTCAAGCAAGACTCACATGCCCATGGTCTACATGACCTGTAATAAATAGGTATAAGGGACGTTATTATCACAATACTAATGACATTGCTCAATTTTTAAAGTTAAAATAATCGAAATAAATTGATATTGTCTTGGGCCTTCCAGATCGCTTTAGATCTAAGACTCTCGTATCCCCTTCACTAAAGTGTTTGAACCATCGCTCAATGGCTTGCCTTGACAAGGCCTTGTCTCCATGTGTCTCTTTTATTTTCTTGACAACTGCCTGCCTTGTCTCTCCAGTAGCTACCAAATATTCAATAATAACAATCCTTTGCTTAACTTTGATTTGTTGTAAAGTAGACATTTCTTGGATGTGTGTGAGTCTAAGAGTCTGATCTACTTTCTGACTCACTGTGACTCATCATTCTTAGAAATATCATTGTGATGTCATAGCACAATTGGTTGCTGAATTTAGAACTCACTAACAGCAAACACATGGGCATGTGAGTCTTGCTTGACAATTGCATTACCATGCTTGTTAGACATATCATGTGTGGTAATTGAGTCATTAAAACGAAATCAAGCAAAAATGACAAAAACATTCAATTATCATTAAAAAACCAATTCCGCCCATGCTTACCCTTGTTACCATGGTTACGCATAGCTGAAACAATTTCAAATGCATTTAAATGAGAATTCGACACAAAGTAGAGAATTGATTGATCTATTCACTGTGAAAAAATTAGACTGATTGGGTAAAATTTAGTATGCCTATAAAATTTTGTCCATTACTTTTGAATCACCCCTCGTATATACAGGATATAGTATATAGCCTAATATGTTCGTTAAACAGAATTGTTGCATGACCGCTATAGCGCTCAAGTCATTCAATGTTTAAATGTTCATGGGCATGCTGCATGATCATTTTAGTGTCATTTGAATGTTTACAATAATGAACTACATATTATTTAACACAAATGTTGTATGACCACTATAGAGCTCAAGTCATTCCATATTCGAATGACCATGTATGTACATGTTGTATGGTGATTATAGTCATTTAGATATTTACATGATTATGAACGCATTGAGTCAATGTTAAAATGACCATGTACATGTCGTATGGTGATTAATTGTCAAGTCATTTAGATATTTACATGATTATGAACGCAATGAGTCAATATTCAAATGATCATGTACATGTTGTGTGGTCTCCAAATACATTATTACACTTACATTTTGTATGGCCACTATGGAGCCTGTGTCTGTTAAAATGACCATGTACATGTCGTATGGTGATTATAGTGTTCAAGTCAATGAGATATTTACATGATTATGAACGCATTATTACACACACATTTTTTGTGATCACTATAGAGCACTATCACTATGTGTTAGTGTTAAAATGACCATGTACATGTTGTATGGGGATTATAGTGTCCATGTCATAAAGATATTTACATGATTATGAACGCATTGAGTTCATATTCAAATGATCATGTACATGTTGTGTGTTGATTACAGTGTTCAAGTCAATGAGATATTTACATGATTATGAACGCATTATTACACACACATTTTTTGTGATCACTATAGAGCACTATCACTATGTGTTAGTGTTAAAATGACCATGTACATGTTGTATGGGGATTATAGTGTCCATGTCATATAGATATTTACATGATTATGAACGCATTATAACGCACACATTTTGTATGGTCACTGGAGCCTGTGTCTGTTAAAATGATCAAGTACATGTTGTATGTTGATTATAGTGTTCAAGTCATTTAGATATTTATATAATTATGAATGCATATTGAGTCAATATTCAAATGACCATGTACATGTTGTATGGTGATTTTGGTGTTCATGTCATATAGATATTTACATGATCACGAACGCAATGAGTCCATATTCAAATGACCATGTACATGTTGTATAGATTATGGTGTTGATGTCATTTAGATATTTACATTACATGTATTATGAAAACGCATTGAGTCCATGTTAAAATGATTATGTACATGTTGTATGGTGATTATAGTCATTTTATTAACATGATTATGAACTCATTATTAAACACAAATTTTGTATGACCACTATAAAGCTCAAGTCATTCCATATTCAAATGACCATGTACATGATGTATGGTGATTATATTGTTCAAGTCATTTAGATATTTACATGATAATGAACACATATTAAGTCAATGTTATAATAATGAATGCATTGAGTCAATGTTAAAATGACTCAAGCATAAGTCAATGTTTAAATCCTTGCTCCTATTGTTATACACAAATGTTTTATGACAACTATGGGTTTCAAGTCAAACAAGGTTCACATTTGTAAGAAATGGAGATGAAATTTTTAGTCCCATTGTAGGTATTGTAAAAGACATTGCAAATTAAAAGTCTCTTTTAAGATGGGGACATAATGAAATGTTGATGTTGTTGTGAAATGCCATATTTTTCTATGATTAAAGTTGATGTAAATTGGAAAATGTGTTCCATTTTTGAATGACATAACAGAATGATTAGTGATTAACAGGGTGACACAAAATATGCAACAACATCAGAATCCTTAAGTTCAATGTTTTAATCCAGCTACATAATTCTGAATATAGTGTGCTAAACTTTTGTGAAAATGAATATTTCTTAAGACTTTCAGACATTAAAACACTGACCACTTCCCCAATCTCTGATTATGTCACCACCAAAAAGTGGTCACATATTGTTATGGTCGCCGTTTTTTTGTGACGGCGGTTGGTGGTTGGCGATCAGTGGGTGACGGTTGGCGTTTGGTGTCTGTAACAAATTCTTACAACTTTCAATATCTTAACAAATACTGTTAAGACTGATTTCAATTTTTTTCAAAACCATCTACAAGTTTTCAGAAGTTCAAATCCGACACTATAAGATTTGACCTTCAATGACCTTTTCAAGGTCAAAAGGGTCTTTTCTACTTGCTTTTAATTGACCAAATTGTTTTTTCAAAATCATCTACCAGGTTCTCAAAATTTCAAATCTGATTTGACCTTCAATGACATTCTCAAGGTCTTATGTCAACTTGCTTCAAATTGACTATTTTTCTCAAAATCAGAAACAAGTTCTCAGAAGTTCAAATCTGACTTCTCATTGTCAAAAGGGTACTTTTCAACTTGCTTCAAATAGACCAATTTTTGTTATTGGAGCAATGATAAGTGGTATAACTGAAACCATAGATGCCAATTCAATGAGAATCCCAAGACCTGTATAATGAGTGTCAAGAACGGAAATAGAAAAATATCCTGACAAATAAATCCGTTATCTATAATCTACGGTACATCATAGGCATATTCCATACCTTGCAATTTTACTTGTTACAATAAAATGGAGCTGAGGAGCAAAGCCGGGATTGATATGTCACGAACACGGTACGGGTAAGTGGGACGTAGAAAGTTGAAAATGGAAGTGGAAAATAACTATCCCGCTTTTTTGATACAGTATGAAGTTTCTTCATTTAGATTTTCTATATGCCGGAACTTTGTGGACACCATGTATATTCCTTCGTGTTAACTATCAAGAACCAAGTAGATTTGGGGTACATATATGGCAGGCTTGACGTCTATATATCGATGGAACCGTTTGATGTAATGAATAACTAGGTTATATGAATTGCAATTGTCAAGTATAAATAAACAATCTTATCTGATGCACATGTACATACATGTTTGTGATCTGAAGAATTTGAAGTAGTATGTCAAAAGAAACATTTTGATGTACAGTGTCTAGTCTTCGGAACTGAAGAATTATTTTGAATTATATTTAACGTAACATAGAATATTAGCTGATAATATCTTGTTTAGACGGGATCAGGCATCATTTCGAAAACGGCAGAAATTGAATTCTTGGGGTGTCCTCATGTGTCCTCATGAGAGATATAGCTCGGTATAATCATATTGTTGTTAGTACGATTATATCAGAACAGATGGTATTGTGAAATTATGACTAAAAGTACTCCAAATTGAGATACCGGTGAACTTACAAGAAAGGATAAAATGAAGAGCAAACAATTTGGTAAGTGAACTCTACTGACATGATATGACATAAGTTAACTCTTCAATGACATGATATGACATCTTATACGTCGTCGTGGAAAATAATTGTAATTAGATACCTGGAAAAGTGAATTGAGAGCGGGACAGTAATCCCCGGGGTCGAAATATTCCACGTTCGCGTGCAGGTTCTCTTAAAAACGTGACGCTTGACCTCCCTATTAAGGATTGTTTACTACACCTTCTGAATGTCAATTTTCTAAAATTTATCCGATTGCAGGGTTAGTTGGTTCAGCGTTGCTGTTTATCCTACACGTTGTTCTTGTTGTCCTGATGTATGGCCACCTTTCCTTTGCAATTTTGACAATACCAGGTCGGCCCATACCCACGCTCCCGCCGTCTACTCCGTTCATGGCACTCCTTAACTATTGGACGGACTTATTGGTAACTATCAAATATGTGATATGAGTAACTATATGAAAAAACAAAGGATTGGTATCGATATGGCGAACTGAATTGAACACATGTTTCTCAGATTTCAAGGTTGATTTCAAATTCGAATTTTTGAGAAAATGTTCCATCGATTTTTAAATCACACCCATTTTGTTGAATTTGAAGAAGCTTTTTGTCAAGTTTCGCCCTGCACACCGTATCTCAAACTGGGTTCAGATACCTTACGATGGCAAAAGGCTCAGACTTTTAAGATCTTTTTTGGCATTAGCTAACAAAGTTCCATAGACAAATATGGATGTAGCGTTCAGCAATTGCTTTAAAACAAATAAAATGACCTTGAATTTACCTAAGCAAGAAAAAAAACAATAATGAAGAACGCCAGTATATCTACACTCTATGCAGACTGTGCTATACGAAAGCAAATGGTACGGATACTATTCTAGTATCATATGTGCAAGCTGCGGATGTTGATGGTCATTTTTGAATTTGATTTTGTGATAGTTCACCAACTAAAGGTAAGGCATGTTGGGTTCTCAGTTATATTCATGCATGTGTAGAGGTTCCCTAATAAAAGGGAAATTGGTGAAATTGCAGCTGTCTCACAGCGTAAATAACATTCATTAAATAATTGTGATCGAGATGACCTATCAATACAAATTATATTTGCATTTTGAAAGTTGAAAGGTATCTGTGTGATTTTATACAAAATGGGAAACATTCAACAAAAATATGCTGCCTCTTAACAAGCGGTGTGGATATCCGTAAAGTGACGATATCCGCACCGCTTGTTTAGAGGTAGCACATATCCGATAAATGTTTTTAAAAATTCACACAGAAAGTTTATGTCTTACAAATGCAAAAATAATTTATATTGATTGGTCTTCTCGATCACCAATACTGAATGAAGGATGTAAACTGTGTAATAAAGCAACAATTTCAAATTCTTTGAAATTGAGCACATGTTATCCGCACCGCTTGTTTTAGTATAGCACAGTCTATATAGGGTGATCTAGGTGCATTCATATTATGGTCTGCATATGTTCTTGATTACAATTATTATTGATTAAGAGTCCAATTCATTATTAGATTGCTGTAAACGAAAGACTATGCCACTATAATTAACAAAAATCATTGACCTGTCTTTATTTCAAAGTTGATGAGTTTACTTAAATTTCTAATCTTGTTCACTACATGTTTTGACTGATCCAAGTACATGTATTGATAACAAATTCAATTCATTATAAAATTGCTGGAAATTTAATATGAAATAAAAAGGAATTTGGTAAGACTATGCCAGAGGTTCTTCCTAGATGAATAAAATAATTTATAGACATATTCTAATACTTACCCATCTTTGCCACTCTCTGTTTCTGGATTCTCGCATCTACAGGGTGATGCAATAAAATTGGGAGTCCACAAAAAACAATTACTTGGTAAACTTAGGCCTAAACAACCTTGACGAGTAACAATAAACCTACATACCTCAGAAATGTTTAAATAATATGTTTTTACAAACAATTTTCCCTCATATGAATTGTTTTGATTCCAGGCACATTTGATCATGTCATTTTTCGGGTACCCTCTCCATACAATCATGACTGCGTGGCACGTGTTGAAGTGGGCTAATACCGGTTACTCCCTCTATATGCGAACACTATGGATCGCCAACGTCTTGGACACTATGACCTACGGGTGGTCTGCCTTGAAGTTTGCAGACACTTCGCCAAAAATTGTTGGGACAATTGTCTATGCCATATTGAAGTACAATAATTTGTATTATTGATTTAAATTATCTTTTTAGACTAAAATTTGTTCTTTTATTCCTCACATAGACCATACATGTTAATAGATATATAAAGTATCCGTTTATTGATTTGAATTATCTTTTTGGACTAAAATTTATTCAAAATAATAATTTGTTCTTTTATTCCTCACATAGACCATACATGTTCATAAATATATAAAGTATACGTTTTTCGTCCATAGGGCCTTAACTCAAAATGCAGTTATTCATATGAATTATCATTAGCTAATAGGTTTCTTCTAATCACTAACACATTGTTCTTGTTTAAAACAACATTGATGATTGAAGGCCAATCTTTCCCATTCATACCATTTGCATTCGTTCGACTTCACTTCTCAAAAGAGAGCTTCGTCTAGTTAATTATAACTAGACTGCGCGCAGGGTATCCCGTTCACTTAAAAGGCTAATTCATCAACATCATCTTAATAATCTGTATTGTTTTGAACGTCTTGAGAAATACAATTAAAACTATAATTTTTCATGACACAAAAGGCAAATGAAAATGTGAAAAGCATTAAGGTTTATCACATTTTCATAATGAATAATCTCACATAACTGAAAAAATATCTTGAAATGAAAAATGATGACAACGAAGGTTTTTTGATCCGGTTTAATGGAAATGTGTAGCAAAACAAAATACGAGAGTGATCAATAAATTAACATTTTGTATATACAAACCAAAACATAATATCTAGAGAATCTTTTCATATAAATTCACAGATATCTTCTCCTTGATCACATTAATGAAACCATTATCCATTATGTACCAAATATATGGTAGCTGAGATTGCTACTAAAGGGACCTCCTGGTTTAGAAATGTCCCACTATTTATGAATCGCGCTTCGTACGGTCATTTGAATTAATTGGATTTTTTCTTTGAATAAAGACAATGATCATTAATTGCATTTTGCTAAAACTTTTATTAAAAGAGTAAAAATACTTACGTTCATAGTAAAGTAGTTGGAAAGAAAATACGTTTACACTGTGAGTTTTATCAGGAACGATTTTAGACTACTGATATATTCATTTGAGTAATCTTTCTTCCACAGTAACAAATAGTATTCACTGCGACTGTCGCAACGTGTGTTCAGCGTTAAGAGGAAGATGCGATATCAGCTGATATCATTACTCATCTTGCTGGGTTTGGTTAGGATGGTGATAAACCGCCCCAACATTGATGAAACAAAGGATAAAGTAGGAAACAATTTTAAGCAAAAAGAAGAGGACTTCCAAGCGGCGCTAACGCGAGAAAAGAGATCTAGAGGACAGAGAAGAAATCGAAGGGATGATAACGCTTCTGCATTTGCGTCTGAAACACCATTTGAAGGCGAAGCTATTGAGAAAGTTATAGAGCGAAGAGAAATCCGCCAGAACAAAAAAGAACGCAGGGACCTCCGAAAGTGTAAAAATACTAAAAGAAAAATAAAAGGTTGCTGTTTAAACGTTGGTATTGGTAAAATTATAAAGGGGATAACCCAGAAATGTCTCCATACGAGTTAAAAAAAAGTTAAGCAAACAAGGGTGCAAATTAAAATCTAAAGAATAAGGATTTGAATACAAAAAATAATGTCAAATACTCTTGTCCGCTATGGGGGATCTGTATTTATGTTTGAACCTAATCCCCCAAAGTGGAAAATTAACACTATTGTTTAGCAATACACTTTTTTGTTAATTGTTACTGTTACACCTTCATATGCAAAAAATCACTTTCCACTGTCAGGTGTTTTGAGGGGGGGAGGGCGGGACATTTTGGAAGCCAATGATATATTAAATTTTACCTTTCAAATAGGCTACTTCTTGAGTACTAACCAGGCCCCGTGATAACGTGACTTTACTGCAAAAATCAGCAACATGCATTAGCGAATTTGGCACTGGCAGCATGATAAATTCAAAAAATGCTCATGGTATGACGAGGCCTGGTCAGTACCAGTGGTACTGTATGATCACACGAAAAAACAATACATTAATTATCAAAATTTGTGCATTGAGGTAGAAGAATCAGAAAACAAAGGAAGAATTTGGATAGTGGTATTGAGTGCACAGAGACGTTTGAGACTATAACATCTACTACAAAAGGACCAACCACCACCACAAGACCAACCAGCACTACATCGACTACAACTATATCAACTCCCAACCCACCGACTACCACAACACCGACTACCACAATACCAACTACCACAACACAGACTACCACACCACCAACCATCACAACACCAACTACCACACCGACTACCACACCACCAACCATCACAACACCAACTACCACACCGACTACCACAACATCGACAACCACATTACCAACCACCACAGCATCGACTACCACACCACCAACCATCACAACACCAACTACCACACCGACTACCACAATACCAACCACCACTCCCTCGACTACCACCCCATCGACAACCACATTACCAACCACCACACCCTCGACTACCACATCACCGACTACCACAATACCAACCACCACACCCTCGACTACCACAACATCGACAACCACATTACCAACCACCACACCCTCGACTACCACAGCACCGACTACCACATTACCAACCACCACACCCTCGACTACCACAGCACCGACTACCACCATACCAATCACCACAACACAGACTACCACATTACCAACCACCACACCCTCGACTACCACAGCACCGACTACCACCATACCAACCACCACAGCACCGACTACCACATTACCAACCACCACACCCTCGACTACCACAGCACCGACTACCACCATACCAACCACCACAACACCGACTACTACCACATCGACAACTATCACTTCTACTACCACAACACCAACCACCACCACAATACCAACCACCACAACACCGACTACTACCACACAGACTACCACATTACCAACCACCACACCCTCGACTACCACAGCACCGACTACCACCATACCAACCACCACAGCACCGACTACCACATTACCAACCACCACACCCTCGACTAGAGTCAATACGTCCAAATCCAAACAGGGGGGTAAACACGAACGGGTTCCAAACAATGGCAAGCAAATCATTGAATTGAATAATATTACCTCTACTACCTCTACATAATATTTGTAGTCTAAAAGATACCATATAATGATGTATAACAACAATCTAACAATAAAATAATCAATTATGATGATTTAGGTGTTTGGAATTACCCCCATGCTCCTGTTTGGAATTACCCCCACAAACCATATGCCTTTCAATCAATAGATGTCACCTATAAATTAATTAAATTTGGATTTCTTGATATGCAGGGGTGACAGGATCCAGTATCATAAGTTCAGGGTATCATATAATGATATACCATCAATCTAACAATTAAAACAATTAAATTTAAGTTTAGTGTTTGGAATTACCCCCATGTAAGTGTTCGGATTTACCCCCCAAAAATACTCCTGTTCGGAATTACCCCCCTAAAATACCTTGTAGTAAAAATGGTATAACCCAGTTTTTTTTTACAATTTTTCGTAATTTTTTCGGCAAATGCATTCTACAGTGTATAATACACATAATATATATAGAATCATACCATAGATGTGCAGTACAGCTAAGCTAACTACATTTTTTGATGGGGGTGTTTGGAAATAGACGTATTGACTCTACCACATCACCGACTACCACCATACCAATCACCACAACACAGACTACCACCCCACCAACCACCACAACACCGACTACCACCACACCGACTACCACAATACCAACTACTACTACCACAACGCCAACCACCACAACAACAACACCAACCACTACCACAACATTTCCTGCTTGCTTTACATCAACTGCATACCCACCAGTTCCAACAAGTGAGTATAAACAACACTATCCTAATAGACAGCATTGTCTGAGAGCATTACATATAGAGTACATGTTATGGACAATGATATGGTCAAGGAGAATGCCCATTGACCATCAGATTGGATATTTAACATTTTTTGTTTGTGTCATTGTATTACAATTTCACATGCACAGTAAATCAAGAACTTGGTGGACAATTTAAGGAATAAATGGGTCATTAATAAAATTAATTACAACATAATAACATCGCACATTATTCATTATTCACAGAGTTTTCAAAGGTTTATATAATGATCTTATTAAAACATCATTTCTCTTGAACTTTGACCAGTTCAGACCAACTCGAGGGGGATAGTTATCCCAGGGAAGCAATTCAAATATGTTGCATGGTCCCAAATGTGTTCAACTTTAATCACAATACATTATACTAGTAACTTACCTCTAAATGCAGCAACTTGGAACCAGTCGTGTATTGACCACCACAATGCAATCAGAGCAAAACACAACTGTACTCCACTGGTAACATTTGATGTTGAAGCGTCCAAAACTGCCCAGCATTGGGCAGAGCAACTAGCTACATATGGTCCTTCAATAGGGCCTAATGGACATAGCACGAGACTGGGTCCGGGTGAGAACCTCTATTCAACATGGACTGGTAATATTGACGAACACGAAGGACATGTACCCATTACGTTTAACCTGTGCCAAAAAGCTGTGATGCAATGGTAAGTTTAGTACTGTCATTTGTCTCAATTGTGTTGTGGTAAGTTAGTTTTAGTATTTTCGTTGTGATTGGTGTCATCAGTAATTCTGCTATCACTGTCCCACTGTAGATGCTGTCATTGTTGTCGTGTATGGTTTTGTTATTGTTAATGGTGTTTTCATTGTGGGTGATAGTGTCATCATCATAGATGGTGTAGTCATCGTGGATGGTGTTATCATTGTGGATGGTGTTATATTTGTGGATGGTGTTATCATTGTGGAGTGGTATCATAGTGGAGTGTTATCATTGTGGATGGTGTTATATTTGTGGATGGTGTTATCATCGTGGATAGTTTTATTATTGTGGAGTGGTATCATTGTGGAGTGTTATCATCGTGGTTGATGCTGTTCAACCTGGTGCTGGGTCCATTAAAGGTCAGTAACTACATATGAATCTGATGGGTATGACAGATGATCCATAATCCACTATTTATATTTTACAGGCATAGCCACATCTGTAAATATGACTTCAACAATATTCTAGAGTCCTACGATAATGATGCTGTAAGGCATTTCACCCAGGTACGTTACCATTTGATAATCAAAATATTCCTCATACAATGTGGAGAGACATGGTTAATTTTTCGCAAAATGTTAATTCTCCATAAATCAGCCAATAACACTTCCAATGTTGCAGGTAGTATGGAAGGATTCATGGAGGGTTGGTTGTGGTTTAGCCCATGTTAAGGAAGACCATCCAGACAGAGCAACTGTTCCCTACTATGGTATTAGGTACTATGTTGTATGCCACTACAGCCCACCTGGCAACGTAGCAGGCCAGTACATGGACCAGGTGGAAGGTTATGCTGATGGGGAAGAACCATTTACAATGTGTATGTAGGTGCAACTGAGAAGAATCTGAAGGATAGAACTATTTATGCACCATAAGGGTAATAAAACATATAAATGGATTCGGATACAAGTGTGCAATGATGTAACTGTTTTTTTGGTAATACTGTTTAAAAGCTAATCTGTCTGAGCTACATTTCTTGCATAAAAATATTGAAAAATTGCTTGGACTTCTTGTATACCACTGTATCGGAATTTCAGATTTTACTTGGATTTTATCAAATAAAATGCATATACTTTTCTATCGGCGAGTTTTATTTTTTAATTAAAAATCGCACTATTAGCTTGGACATTGACTGATACATAATTTTGTAAATTAACAGAATTCTTAATATCTCAATGACAAAAGGATTAACATAATGGCCTAAGATGACTATTACATGGGGAATTAATCAATCAATTGTACAACATTACCTTGATCGATTAAAACATTGATTAATCGGACCATTTAAAAGGTTTTTCTATGAAGTTTTTTTCTGTGAAATCCATAAAACAGAATAAATATATTATATGTCATAAACTTTTTCATTCTTGAGTAGAATAAAAGATCTAATTATTTATCATATATATCTAAATCCTTTTCTTCATGATCCTTTAGATGTAATTTTGATACTCGTACAATTAATGTCATATGATAATTAGAATTTCCTTGGCACAAATGTAGCATCCAACTCTTGTGACATAAATCGCATACTTCAGAACTTACTTTCAGATTAAATTAATTACAAAAAAGGCATTAACCTGCAAAATGTCACCACCTGCCATTTTTTACAGATGGCGAACACAATACAAATCAAATTAATACAGAAATATTTAGAATTATGGAGTGTTTATTTCAATAATGATACAATGGTACAAATTATACAAATTGAATAAATGATTGTATTTGTACGCTAGTTGTTGATTAAACATTATAAGCTAGTTTCCCAAAGTTTATAACAAGTACCAAAGTACAATAACATGATATAGGTTGAAATGATAAACAATCAATTAATAAGATACTGAAGATCTAACATAGCATATTGATCAGATTCTAGAATACCATGCTAAATTTGATTTTACTTATGCTTTAGGTTGGATTTTAGAACTTTTATATAAAGTAAAACACTTATTTACATATATTATGATGACGTATGTCATTTCATACATGATTTAGTTCTAACACTGCAATAAAACTTTTGATAAATTATTACATCTTATGTGGTTTGTTTATCATTTATTATAAGTATAATATAACAAATGTACAGTCTATAATACTAAACAACATTCCAAATATATTGTTAACAAAACATTATGTCGTTATAAAAACAAACTTTCTAGATGTTGTATGTTATAATTGGAACATAGATGTTTTGGTCACAATGTTTTCACTTCATTCTTACCAATTTATGACGCTGCAAAATAATGAGGATTTAGTATATTTTAATTTAAATGAATTTTGTTGTGTGATTGGTTGAAGAGCACCATTTTGAGAGACAGGATTTTAATTTTCATATCTGTGGCACTCTACAATTAATGCAGTCACAAATACATTTTTACACGTCATAAAAACAAAGCTATAAGTGACCTTGATATAACTATGAGTTAAAAATATCTGAGATTAAATCTAAAGGTTTCAGAGACAAGGTAATGTGTTTCATCTAAGCCTTTTCTCCAAAAATTAAAAGAATACCTCTATGTAATTAAAACTGCATACATACTGCACTATTTAGATACATATTTCATATACAGTCAATATTCTTTTCATGTACTTGGTTAAAATTTACAGCATATATATGTACATATTTACCACAATTACAATACTTTATAATGATTGCATGTACACGAGGATGATTCCAAAGTGAATGATATTTTGATCACCAGGATTAATTTATATGTAATTTCATATAAAACAAGTTTTGCATCCAATTTGGTCCCTCTATCCTACCTATTTCCCTATCCAGCTTGTAGTACAGTAGGGTATACAATGACTATATACCATAGGTGGGGGCGAGGTACACGAGGGCTTGATATGAGACTAATAAAACACCAAGAATGAGAATTTTAGCTTATTGGCCAATTGACATAATATATGGTCTCAAGCTTAATTAACAGTTAAGGCAATATCCCAGATGTATGATGATAATGAATGAGTTTCAAGTGCTAAACTTCTCAAAAACCACTACATGCATAGATTAAAAGTACACACATCAAAGAAACTTGCCCAAACACAAATGGCAAGTACCAAAAATCAGATAATCAAAATATTATACATTATGCGCCCAGATCGTCAATATTTGACAATGTACCATATTACATGTGGACAATTGGAATACCTTATGGTATTAGAAAGAGAACAAATGTGATCTTTCCACCTTCACTACACTCTGTACAATTATTGTGCTAGTTGAAGCAACATTTTAAAAACACTTTGCTTACAAGATCAGAATATGTACAAGTACATACAATACGGTTGTTATTACATGATTATTTAATGTCAACATTATATACATATTCGCTCAGAAATATTTTCAATACATGATTAGGGCCAGTGTCGAGATACCAATGTTATTTGCAAAACTCTTTAAAACAATGGTTAGACAGATGATGAAAACACCAAAAAAATCATTTGCTGAGGGGTGATGTGAAAGTCATTCAACCCCAGTGGGGATCAGTTTGTCGAACTTAAGCTATATTATCACCCACGTCAATTTTTTCCAATAACAAACCTGCATTTTTACCCATGATATTATTAGTTTCGCGATAAAATGACACATTGCACGTGACCACTAGCGCATTAAAATAGATAGTTAAATACTGCAGACTCCATGAAAAAATTGATATTTTTTTTACTATTTTTACATGTTGTTGACTAAACTGTTATTTCCATGATTCAAACTTAAACAGGTTACTGAATTTAAGGACATTTATCAATCATTGTTTTAAATGATATGGGAATTGTAGTGGTGCGTTGTATTTTGTTATATTAACAGCACCCCTGAGCTATGTCACTGCTGTTTCATAGAGTTTCTTGTATTTAATATTCCGTGCATATATACACATTTTCATCAGTCAAGAATATAGACAAAATTTTTAATCCATTTTTCTGTGTTTAGAAAAGGTGAGACTGACACCGATTATGATCTGATGTATCAATCCAGCAATCTATAAATATCCAAGGGATTCCTCATTAAAATCCCCTGTGACACATTTCCTGTCATTTCCAAACTTTCAGACTAAAATTTTTGATTCACATTTCTATCGTATTATGTTATTGTTGGATGTTGGTTTGCATGAATTACTTAGAGATCTTCCATGTTTATTTCTCATTCTTTCTCTGTCTGACATCACCCTCCCTAGCGGCACTGTCATTAGTTTTACTGAAATAAAAATAAAGATTTTTTTTTACAAAATACTGCAAAACAAATACAAGATTGAGATCAAGGTCAAGGGTTAACTATGCACTTGAGGTTGGTAGTGGCGTGGAAATTTAGTTTAATTTAGCTCCAAGCTCTTATGAGCCTCCCTCAACTAAACATCTCCCCACAATGATGTGTTGGTAATGTAGATAAGGGGGTGGGGGTCAACAGTCTTGTAGCACGACCCAAAGAAATTCTTCCAACTTTGATGTCAACCCTTGATGTTCAATGTTACATGAAGTCATGCATCAATAAATAAAGAATTATAGGGATAACCACACGAGAATCAAAATTTTTGAATATTCTTTTCATGATTTCCTACCGATAAAACATGGCAGGTTTTACATGTGAAGTATCCATGATTTTACAATTACAAGAATGCAAATATCTCTAGCGAATCTCCACATAAACTGGTGTCATTGGGGGTATATCTGAATTCAATATTGTATCCTGAAAATCAATGGAGGTCCCCAAATACAAAGCACCATCCCCTATTACAAAGTAGGGTCATATTTTTATCAAATACTTACACATCATTGATAGGATCAGAATCTTCGTCTTCAAAGTTGTTTTGTTTTGATCTCCTCTTTTCATAAATAAAGATTATAGTACAAAGCACAACAACCTCAGCTACTATTCCCAGGAATGGCCAGAGAGCAGCAAGTTTATCTAAAATAAAATAAATTAAACTGAATAATTATGTAGATAACGAAAGGATCTGTCAGTCAACTTTCAAGACCAAAATGGAAGATAGCGTCATTTTTGTAACATATTATAACTTAGTGGCAAGAAAGTAACAATAGACAAGTATTTGGTTTTTCTCCAGATGTCTTTTTCACACATTTTAGAAGATTTGATATCCTTTTTACCATCCATACATTAAACTTAACATAGCATTTTATGTAGAAATTAGTACTCAAATGCATTTGGAGATTGCCAACGTACCTATTACTCTGATCATGATTACGGCTGTGTCATTATACTTTTCACCATTGATGATATTGGTTCCTACACAAGTGTACTCGGCACGGTCATCATCCTTGATATCATTAATAGTCATCTGAGCGCCCTCTATTTCATCTACGATATTGAAGTGGATTCTTGAAGAGTTGAAGTCCATAGGTTTTCCACCTTTAAGCCATTCTACAGTGGGTAGTGGGTAGCCAGTGATAGGGCAATTTACTACGAGGACTTCTCCTTGAATCAGGTTCTTAGATTTACCCAGGTGATGGTTATCAATTATAGGCTTGGCTGAAAAGAACAAACAAAAGAAAATACAAAATTAAATTAAAATATAATTTGCAGTTGGTTCTATTACATGATAACAATAACAATGAGGATTCACAGAGCACAGGAAAGAGTATTTCCCAACAGAATGGGGTATTCTACTCTTTATCACTATGTATCATATGGAGCAAATGTTTTTATTGTCCTGTTCTCTCAATTTCTGGTCTTTTCAAACGTATTTCTTTTCATCAGTTTAAGATTGCAAAAACTAGTTGCTACCAAAGTTTGTCCTTTGCACACTTTGCCTGATGATTTGACCAATGAGAACATTGTTTTATATTCAAACCTCCCTGAAAAACCTCCAAATATGGTCGATTTTGAAGATATTGATTAGTTTCTTCAACAGAAATTATAAAATTATATAAAGGACTCTTGCTAAGCTTTAGGCAGTTATAATGGCAGTATTCAAAAAATAAATGAATATTGAACAAATGAGTGTAAACTTACAATATACGTAAAGTGTCTTGTTGTCCGTTGCATATGAACACTCATAGGGGCCTACATCATTCTGCACTGTAATGTAGAAAAAAAACAACACTCAGAATACATGAACTGTATATTGTAAATGTATGATTACTGAACTCATACCTACATAGCATAAATTGATGATTTAACACATTACAGAAATATGGACTGTGCTTTTTCACTAAATTCTTTTAACAAAGGTCTATGACCCCTCGCTCTCCATGTTCGTTGAAGAAGATCCAGGCCCATAGCCAGAAATTCTTTCAAAATCATGCAGTTTTTCACCATTCTGAGAATTTTTCGCATGATTTTTAGCAAAAATTGTGAAAAAGCTCCCCCCTGGAAAAAAGCTCCCCCCTTGGTAAAAGATGGCTACGGGCAAGAGATCCATTATCACTGTATAATGTTTTGACTCCAACAAAACCTGCCTTTTTGCTCCCTCCTCTCTAACAAAATTATAATTTTATGAAAAAATGATGTATTGATATTTGACCAAGCATCTTAAAGCAATGCCATGTGACTATGGAGTACTAATGAAAATTCTTGTTACATTTTATCTCTTTCACTCCATTATTCATTTTCATGAAGATCCACTAGCCTTTGATTTGGTTAAAAATAACACAAAAGCAGAACTTTACAGAAAACAGAAGGGTGTGAACTGTGCAGTGTGCTCAAAATTTTTGGTAGACTTAAAACAATTTTAACATGACCAAAATAATATAAAACTGGTAAATCTCATATACCAGTGCTACGTTCCACGATTTAAGGGTAATGCAGTTTTTATGAAAGGCAAAGAGAGGCAAAGAGAGGCAAAGCCCAATAGAGTGAGGAGCTGTACCTCAGTCTAAATGCCAATAAGATGGTTGCTTGATAAATACCATTGAATCATAATCAAAACATCTCGTTACAGAGTTCAAGTTCACAAAAACATTCCAGGGAGAATTTGGCTGTGCAGGGAATAATCGTGATTGTATATCAGAAAATTGGCTTCAGTAACACATACAAGTTTCAAGCAAAGTAGGATCATTCATTATAATAAAATCACATATCATTTTACTTATAAAATCATTGTGTTGGGTTCTATTTCATGAATAGTTCATTTAAATATTACAATTATTTCATAAATAGCTTGATTTTCATTTCTCATTGAGTTAAACCAATGTGCAGTTCTGCTTCGGTTCTTGAGGAAGGGTGTCCAGTTTGAGGCATGCAAGGGAAGCACAAATCTTTCACATCACTTCTATTCAACACAGGAATCACTTCTGTGTTTTTGACTTAGTTAAGATTGGGGTAATTAACATATTAATTCAGAAAAATCAGTATTTTATATATACATGTATGTTTGATTTAAAATTTGGCTGATCATGTTTGTTTTGCTGCCAAAGTATTATAAGTGCTGGACAATCAGTTTATTGTAGAAATAGTGCATAATTATTTCTTAAAGATCAATCACCATCATGTATATTGACTTGATGTGCTCATCAAATTAAAATAATTCACCCTAATTTAATAAGCAGTTAAGCCTGTATCAAGGTAAGCTGACAATAATAACACATTTAAAAGTCAAAATTCTGCACCATCATTCTTGACAAATGTATGCAAATTCTGATATGTTGGCATAATCTGGTTGATTGGTTATTGTTAGTATTCAAGATTTTTATAACAAGAACAATCTATCAATGAATGAATTATGAGGAAATTTTTTATCAATATTTGATATATTTAAAGAAATTACAAAATTATGGTAATTCTTAAGATATGGTGGTGCAGAAAATAAAATTCTAGAATATGTGATTGGACATCAAACAGATAGCTAGCAACTGTAGACAAAATGATTATAATTCTTAGAGTAAACCATTACCTGTGGGTGAAGAATCCCGTTCTGACAGCACGAATAAAACAAAAGATTCACATGTAATAACAGCTACCCCAGCCCAAATAAATAAATTAGCCCATGATTAATCTAACATATAAGATGGAATAACAGTATTGATATTCTGCCAATAATATGTATCTACAATAATATCATATTTCAACTGCACTGGTTTATACTAGTTATTCAACACGTAACATTTTTCAAAATAAGTTCTCAAAACTCATGGAATAAATCCATTATCCCATGATTTTTCATGATATCATTTTTACCAGCTCTTTGCATTTCAATATCAGAACTCATTTTTGCTGATATGATTTCATTGAGTTGGTTAATGTTATCACTTCAATTCATACAAACACACATAAAAGATTCAGGTACATATAACAACATCTACCCAGGCTCCAAATAAACTTCTTCAGTACTATAATGGTACCTAAAACAACAAGGTTAAACTGCTTCGTTACTAAGCATTTTGACAAACAGCTTCGTAATGAAGGATTTTTGTGCCAGTGTAACACCTCAAAATACTTCAATATAAAGCATTTTGAGAAAAGGCTTCGTAATGAAGGATTTTTGTGCCAGTGTAACACCTCAAAATCCTTCAATATAAAGCATTTTGAGAAAAGGCTTCGTAATGAAGGATTTTTGTGCCAGTGTAACACCTCAAAATACTTCAATATAAAGCATTTTGAGAAAAGGCTTTGTAATGAAGGATTTTTGTGCCAGTGTAACACCTCAAAATCCTTAATTAAGAAGCATTTTGACAAAGAGCTTCATAACAAGCTATTTTCCCCTGCTGAGTAATCAGGTTCTATGAAGTACTTCTGAGCCAAACCTATCAGTACTGAATCAGAATTAGAACTAGCTAAACACTGCTGGCTTATCAGTGCAGTGCTGATTATATTTGGCTATGTTGAAGAAATGAATTCATGTAGTACATGTACATGTAAACAAAGAAAACAGGATAAGGAACAACAAAGTCTACATTCTATACTTAAGTTCAATTTTTCGAGATGTGCCCCTAACTTAGAAATTACTGGGACCTCAAATCTCAAAAAGGTAAAATAAGAAAACATATTTTCCTTGAAAATGAGGTCTTGGGCCACAATTAGCAGCAGGCAAGACAAACCAGATGATGTTCTTTAGTTTTTACAAAAACTGAGTAATTGCAAATGTTTCAAATTATAGCTGCCTATTGTTTTCATTCATTTTGCCTGTTGTGAGAATTTTTAATGATACCCATGAGCCCATCATTTAAAACATACCTCCACCAAAAAGTAGTTATAACACAAACTAATCCTACTTACTTGGGTTAAGGATAGTGAGTGTATTATTATTCATGTCGATCTCATATTTGTTCTCTTCGTCCATAAGCTTGATGCCGAATCTGTACCATGTTACCACAGGGTCGGAGATCCCGGTCACGTTACAAGACAGCACAACTGGGGATTGGTCATCCATTATTATATTTTTAACATTAACTGAAAATCAAACCATAAATCCACTATTATTTAATAATCATATTCAATTAAAAACAGTGGAAAGTCTGGAATCATTGTTGTATGTATGACAACTTGTGTTGCATCGTGGTATATACACAACAACTTCTGTTGCATTATGGTCTTGAAGATCCTCCATCATGCTGAAACTCTGAAAATGACTTAGTTACACATTCCAATCTTCTCTCATTTTTCTGTAGTAGGTTGAAAATCTGCAATTGCCACAATTCTTTCCCAAATCCAATCTTACTTTCAAGTCACTGTGTTCAAATGGATTTTCAATGTTTTTTTCAGTGGGAACAAGCCTATTTTCAAAGTTTCAAGTTGGAGTGCACTCTATTGCGTTAGTTCCAGGGAGATCACTACATTCATTCAATACATAACATGCTTGGTTAATATTTCATTATATAATTTCAGGCAAATGTGATAATGCTATTTTTCAATAGGTGAAGCAATATACGTACAAAACACATATTTATTTGTGTTAAAGATGCTATTCATTTACACCACTTCGATGCCAGTGACATTCATATTCTCTGAATGACCATGTGAAATTACCAAATAAAATAGTTTTAAACTTAGAATAATGACAAAGTCAGTTCAAATTTTTAGGGTTGAAAAATGGTATAATTCAAACTGAAACTGATTTTACAATTCATCACCACAAAAAAGAATCCATAAGGCTACAATAACTACCTTGAAATCTCATATAACATATTGAGTGGACTTTTATAGTGCTCAAAATCAAAGGTAATGGTATAATGTTAGAATTAATTATTTTAAATTGTGATTCAAAAGTAAATGAATTATATATACAGTTCTATGTATTTTTAAAGGGTTACTACTACATAAGGAAGTAAAACTGAACCGAAAACAAATAGCCAAAAAAGCAGCTTGTGTACAACATGCCACTACAAAAACGAACAGTCAAAAGCAAAGAATTGGCAGATTTCCCCTCTGATAATAATCTATTTAAGGTAGGCCTGATATAAGAGATTTGACCATGGACGTTTCACAAATAGGATTACATACATACCGTACATAATATATTTTTCCAACCTTAAGCAAAAACGTCAAAATATGTGGCAAAATCTTAGACAAGGCATTAACATGACAAAATGTCACCACCTAGTTGCTCACAATATTATGAGTTCAAACTTTAGTCAGATTTGAATTTCTGAGAACTTGTAAAGTCAAATTAGAACATCTGAAAAGATGTAGATGATTTTGAAAAAAAAATTTGGTCAATTTGAAGCAAGTTGAAAACAGATCTTTTTGACCTTTTTGACCTTGAGAAGGTCATTAAAGGTCAAATGTCAAATCTAAAGTCAGATTTGAATTTCTGAGAACATGTAGATGATTTTGAAAAAAAAAATTAGTCAATTTGAAGCAAGATGAAAAAATACCTTTTTGACCTTTTTTGACATTGAGAAGGTCATTGAAGGTCAAATGTCAAATCTAAAGTCAGATTTGAATTTCTGAGAACATGTAGATGATTTTGAAAAAAAAATTTAGTCAATTTGAAGCAAGTTGAAAAAAGACCTTTTTGACCTTTTTTGACTTTGAGAAGGTCATTGAAGGTCAATTGTCAAATCTTAAGTCAAATCTAAAGTCAGATTTGAATTTCTGAGAACACGTAGATGATTTTGAAAATTTTTTTTAGTCAATTTGAAGCAAGTTGAAAACAGACCTTTTTGACCTTTTTTGACCTTGAGAAGGTCATTAAAGGTCAAATGTCAAATCTAAAGTCAGATTTGAATTTCTGAGAACACGTAGATGATTTTGAAAAAAAAAATTAGTCAATTTGAAGCAAGTTGAAAAAAGACCTTTTTGACCTTTTTTGACTTTGAGAAGGTCATTAAAGGTCAAATGTCAAATCTAAAGTCAGATTTGAATTTCTGAGAACATGTAGATGATTTTGAAAAAAAAAATTAGTCAATTTGAAGCAAGTTGAAAAAAGACCTTTTTGACCTTTTTTGACTTTGAGAAGGTCATTGAAGGTCAAAAGTCAAATCTAAAGTCAGATTTGAATTTCTGAGAACACGTAGATGATTTTGAAATTTTTTTAGTCAATTTGAAGCAAGTTGAAAACAGACCTTTTTGACCTTTTTTGACCTTGAGAAGGTCATTAAAGGTCAAATGTCAAATCTAAAGTCAGATTTGAATTTCTGAGAACACGTAGATGATTTTGAAAAAAAAATTTAGTCAATTTGAAGCAAGTTGAAAACAGACCTTTTTGACCTTTTTTGACCTTGAGAAGGTCATTGAAGGTCAAATGTCAAATCTAAAGTCAGATTTGAATTTCTGAGAACATGTAGATGATTTTGAAAAAAAAATTTAGTCAATTTGAAGCAAGTTGAAAAAAGACCTTTTTGACCTTTTTTGACTTTGAGAAGGTCATTGAAGGTTAAATGTCAAATCTTAAGTCAAATCTAAAGTCAGATTTGAATTTCTGAGAACACGTAGATGATTTTGAAAAATTTTTTTAGTCAATTTGAAGCAAGTTGAAAACAGACCTTTTTGACCTTTTTTGACCTTGAGAAGGTCATTGAAGGTCAAATGTCAAATCTAAAGTCAGATTTGAATTTCTGAGAACACGTAGATGATTTTGAAAAAAAAAATTAGTCAATTTGAAGCAAGTTGAAAAAAGACCTTTTTGACCTTTTTTGACTTTGAGAAGGTCATTAAAGGTCAAATGTCAAATCTAAAGTCAGATTTGAATTTCTGAGAACATGTAGATGATTTTGAAAAAAAAAATTAGTCAATTTGAAGCAAGTTGAAAAAAGACCTTTTTGACCTTTTTTGACTTTGAGAAGGTCATTGAAGGTCAAAAGTCAAATCTAAAGTCAGATTTGAATTTCTGAGAACACGTAGATGATTTTGAAAATTTTTTAGTCAATTTGAAGCAAGTTGAAAACAGACCTTTTTGACCTTTTTTGACCTTGAGAAGGTCATTAAAGGTCAAATGTCAAATCTAAAGTCAGATTTGAATTTCTGAGAACACGTAGATGATTTTGAAAAAAAAATTTAGTCAATTTGAAGCAAGTTGAAAACAGACCTTTTTGACCTTTTTTGACCTTGAGAAGGTCATTGAAGGTCAAATGTCAAATCTAAAGTCAGATTTGAATTTCTGAGAACATGTAGATGATTTTGAAAAAAAAATTTAGTCAATTTGAAGCAAGTTGAAAAAAGACCTTTTTGACCTTTTTTGACTTTGAGAAGGTCATTGAAGGTTAAATGTCAAATCTTAAGTCAAATCTAAAGTCAGATTTGAATTTCTGAGAACACGTAGATGATTTTGAAAAAAATTTTTAGTCAATTTGAAGCAAGTTGAAAACAGACCTTTTTGACCTTTTTTGACCTTGAGAAGGTCATTGAAGGTCAAATGTCAAATCTTAAGTCAGATTTGAATTTCTGAGAACACGTAGATGATTTTGAAAAAAAAATTTAGTCAATTTGAAGCAAGTTGAAAACAGACCTTTTTGACCTTTTTTGACCTTGAGAAGGTCATTGAAGGTCAAATGTCAAATCTAAAGTCAGATTTGAAGGTCAAATGTCAAATCTAAAGTCAGATTTGAATTTCTGAGAACATGTAGATGATTTTGAAAAAAAATTTAGTCAATGTGAAGCAAGTTGAAAAAAGACCTTTTTGACCTTGAGAAGGTCATTGAAGGTCAAATGTCAAATCTAAAGTCAGATTTGAACTTCTGAGAACATGTAGATGATTTAGAAAAAAATTGAAGTCAGTCTAAACAGTATTTGTTAAGTTATAGGAAGTTGTAAGAAATTGTTACAGACGCCAACCGCCGGACGCCAACCACCAACCACCAACCGCCGGACGCCGTCGCAAAAAAACGGAGACCATAACAATATGTCACCACTTTTGGTGGTGACATAAAAACTGAAAATGGGTTAAAGGGAGTCCAACAATTATGATCAAAGATCATTGGAATCATACTATCACAAAAAAATGTATAATAATCAATTGAAAGAACTGAAACTCCCCGATACTTTAGAAAAGATTGAAATCGGCTAAAGGATATCAACTGATTCTACTGCAACTGTATATATACATATACTTGGTTCTAACTTCGCTTCTAATTTGATTTTCAATCATACCTCTGAAAACCTCAAGTCTTGGAAATCCAAGATGGTTAAATATTCAAGGGAAGTCTCAATGATTCGACATACATCTCCATCTTCAACGAAGATATCACTAGTCATTAAAAACATGTATCTGTATAGCATAAAACACTGCAATGAACCATTACAAGTTTACATCATGAGCCCTAGTATACTGCATTATATATTTCATAGTATGAAAACGAGTTTTTTCTATTGATTTTTTGATCAATAATTCCAGTATTCAGAAATGTCATAACGGGACAGATATTGATGAGTGATGTGCCTATGCATTACATTGCTAAGACCATAGTATCATTCAGACCAAATTCAGAATCTAAATAATATCAACCTATCTAGAAGGAAAAGGCCAGGAACAAAATAATTTTTGAACAGAATTATTTAATAACACTATAAATGATAATTCAGTATGAGTTAAAGATATAATGCAATAAAAAATTATCCGTCAGTAAAATACAAGGCATTAACATGACCAAATGTCACCACCTAGTTGCTCACAATATTATGAGATCAATCTAAAGTAAGATTTGACTTTCTGATAACTTGTAGAAAGATTTTTTAAAAATTGGTCAATTTGAAGCAGATTGAAAATGAAAATACCTTTTTGACCTTGAGAAGGTCATTGAAGGGCAAATCTCAAATCTAAAGTTAGATTTGAACCTCTAAGAAATTGTAGATGATTTTGAAAAAAATTGGAGTCAGTCTCTAAACAGTATTTGTTAATTTATTGGAAGTTTTAAGAATTTGTTACAGACACTAAACTCCAACCATAGTCACAAAAAAACGGAGACCATAACAATATGTCACCACTCTTGGTGGTGACATAAAAATGATCTTAA